AAGGCTTTGAAGCGAGCTCTGAAAACAGAGCGGTATTACTATGCGTATCTAGTTACTGTCCACTGCATAAATTAGATTCTTGGTCCGCTTCCTTTATTAATCCTTTGAGCAGTAACCGCATCAAACTTGACATCTTCTTCCACCATCCGCACCCTGGGATCTACTTCAGCGGGAGAGCTAGATATACTCTTATTAGAGTACTGATAATGAGAGCTATAAAAGTGAAGAAGCGATAATCAGCCCTCTCGTTGACCTTATTGGTGGGCCATAGAACATACAAATTGGACAGTGATATAGTGGGTGCGACAGGAAGATTACTGCTTGCTAACAGGAAGTGATAACAATTGATAATACTTGATCAGGGGCTCCAGAAAGGAGGGGCAACCGATTTTATAGCGCCGGTCGCAACAACGGTGCGACGTTTGTTTCAAGATGTGTAGGGTATGGGACACTTATTCATGGGTGACAGGACGTTATCACAGCTGATGAGATCTGATAAAATGCCGGTAGCCAGTTCCAAAAGATGATATTATAGATGGTACGGAATAATTACTAGATTCGATAAGAGGTCGTGGAACCGGAGGCTCGCCAAATTCATAGCATGCGTGACACCAACAGTGGGAAGGTGGTTTCCTCTGGCAATATAGGGGGGAGCACTTGGGGCAGTAGATGCAAGGCACGATAAATCGATGCCCGGTCCCAAATTGTACCAGGGGTGTATGTAGTGGCAAAATGACGAAAAAGCGAAGTGAAGCGGTCAAAAACCTGCGAAAAGCCCTTTGGTCTACACTACCCAAAATGCAATTTGGGACGAGTTCGCTGTTGGCATTGTGAGAGTTACAGGTACGGTAAATACGGCTGCATGTATTTACTCATATACCGCAGCACCGCAGCCGCTTCATATCAATCCCATCCCTTCGCTTCATTTTGCACATCGCAAATGAAGCGATACGAGTACTAGCATCAGTCGTGATTGGGCGCGCGGGCGTGGTGCGCGTGGTGGGTTTCAGGTTCGGTATGTTGCTTTTTGATAGGGCGCTACGAGAGTACCTTCCTGGAGAGAGGCGCTGCTGAGTGGAGCTGAACTCTGTCCTGCTAGGTGTGCTTATCTTACTCGTCTTCTACATTTGTCGCGCCAACTGCCTCTAAATTGAGCTCTTTAGCAAGGACCCAACCATCGGGTTTCGCCGGTCTGGCTCTATAAAAGTACCTCCTTTCGCCAGGCTCTGCATTGTGGTAGAGCTACCGTGTGGCTAGTCCTTCGGTCAAAACCCCCAGAGATGTTGGAATGTTCGCGGTCAGTCAAAACGGAGTGGAGAATCGAAGTCAAATCATCGTCAGTCCCAACTGATTATCAGCTAGCATCTGTCTGAAACCAGGGGGTGGATCCGCTCATCCAGTTAAGGCCTGCTCTACATCACACGAAGACTCTCGGAACATTAATCTGAAGTTTATGTCAAAACGATGAACTCTCACTGGGCTACAGCGGATGACTCCGTGCTAAAGGCTGTGACCCGATCTTAGTGAGCTGCTGTTGAAAACTCAGTTATGAGTGGAATTTTTCATCGTTTTCCCAAAAGCAGTTTATTGGGTTGTACATCGACATCTACAGTACTAACTGTAAGTCATTGGTGGATGAAGTCCCGTTGGAATGCCGCTAGGCTCATCAGAATGCCTTGCTCCTTTCCGTTTCCCTGCTGTATAATAATACTGTTATCAGAATGGGGAACGCTCAACAAGGAGCTACATTTGAGGGAAATCATTTTGAATTTCACTTTTTCAGAGAAAATCAATCAGAATCAACTCGACTTCAATACACGTCACATTTTTCTTCCTCGAAGATTCCCCAGTCATGTTAGCCTTGACATGTTTATGGTTAATCGTAAGATCGTGATCTGTGACGTTTGCTGTCACTATGGTAGCCCTTTTCAATGTGAGATGCGAGCCACGTTCCTCAGCACAAAGGCTATCCTGCCTTGTTTCATTTCTCCTCACATAACTATAGAGGGAGAGTCTTAGCTCAAATTTCTGCAATACGAGCTCATCTTGCTCAACGCCTCTCTCTCCCTACAAACTGGTTAAATTTCAGGGTTGCCATTTCCGAAAAGAAGGGAAAGATGCTACTCGTTCTCGGGGTCCTTCTGCTCCAGGTTCTTTTTAAAAACATGCTCTAAGAATTTTCAAACAAATCACTTAAAGAAACCTTAACAGGTCGACAAGCTTCAGTGAACTAACTAAAATCTTCCAGAAAGTGGCATTTTCAGGCAAGACTACTAGTACCATGCATGCTTTCGAAAACTACAGGTCCATTCACAGCAGCGCTCAAATATACTATACCAACAAGTAAGAGCTTTGACGCATGTGTCAAAGCATGCTACAACGATTTGGACTGTATCTATGTAGCCTACGGCAATGGTTCTCAGTCACCTAAGGTACAGTGACTTCATACCAAGAATTTCACAGAGCGTTTCTCTCAACATTCTTGTTGTCGAAGGGAATTTCGAAAAGTACTGCCGTTTGATTGTCAAAAGGATGGAAGCATGTCGCAACTCCCGTCATGAAGTTTTGTCTACGTTTGTCTTGAATTCATACGAGTTTCGCTTCTCCAATCGACATTGAACAAGCGTCAGGTTTTTCCACACATCGCCTCAGTACACCGCGCGGCGACGTGGCAAATGGCTGGGGTCTTGCCCGGTTTTAAGCAAAAAAGAACCATTCTTTTAGTTTGCTAGTTTGTTCGGTTGCCTCACTTCGCTAAAGCTGTAAACTCGTTTTGAACTTGTTGCGAAATGGAAAGATCTTTGAGACTTTGGTCTGACGTGAACTTATGAAATCAAAGCATTATATTAACGAACATCATTGAGAAAACCGTACACTCACCTCATTTCTATGAAGGAAGATCAATATCTTATTTTCAGGATACGTCATGCAATATTTACATGAGGGGTGGGGTAGTATTTCCTGCACATCCGAAAGTGTACGGAATGAACCGAACGGAAGAGGACACATCAAGTGCAATGTGCAGTAGTGTTGTACAATGCGCTGCAAAACAAAACTATACGAAGGTCAACGCTACCGACAAGCTTACAATCGAAGAACAGCAGTGCCCGTACAATGCATCAATAGTCACCATTAACGTCTACAAGGAACCCACGTATGGGTTTCATGTATATGCTATGAATGATACCGACCCTATACCGGGTTATAATAAAATTTGCAGGTAATTACCATACTTTGCTCATAATTGATGAAGAACTTGTACGGAGATCAAAATTTCGGTTTTCAGCATGCAGTTTCTGGGGATGGAACTCACGGACTGTAATTCGGTCCCAGTTTACACGCGTGGAGAGGGAGGTAAGCCTTCAGATGGCTCTAGAACCTTGCACACACGACCTCTACAATCCAGTGTGTAGCATTTTTTCCGTTCTTGGATGTGGTAAGGTAAACACCAAATCACCTTATTCAAAAAAGTGGAGACTTACGCATGGAGGAATATCAAAAAAGCTTACGGTTGCAGTATTCCGCAATGATCCGAGATCCGAAGTTAGCATATTTAGTTATAGCTGTGCTCCCTGGAGACCATTGGGCGTGTGGATGAGTTAGAGCCAGGGCACATCGTTGTTGGCGATTTCCCAACAGGGGGTCGTATTTGGTTGCTGGGAGAGGGGGTCGTATTTCGGCTCAAAAAATTGCCTATGATAGTTGATATTTCTTGTTTCGAGGAGGTTGTAAAGTGGATGCCGTAGTTGCTCGTTGTTGGGAGGGGTCGTAATTGGTTTCTGATCTTCTGAGTAAGGTTGCTGAGCTTTGAAGCTTCCTCTTGCTTCGTGTGTACTGCACATCACCCCCACCCCCTCGATAGCAAAATTATTCGGTGAAAGTTAGAAATTTTCCGGAAAATCCCGGAAAAAGTGCTAAGAAGTCCAATAAATAGTAAAGAGAGGGGTCACATTTTTTTTTCACGAAGTGCACCCTCCCCACCCCTCCACCTTCCGCTCGATCAGTAGAGAACTAGGAGGTCGTACCCTCACCCTTAGCCCTCAGAGGAGGGTCCACCTCGCACGTAACGGTACAGAAGCCATCAAACAAGCAAAAGGGAGATAAAGTGTTCAGCAGCGACAAACTTTGCTTGAAATGCCATCGCAAGTTTGTTATTGCTAGGCAGATTTGTTGCAAGGAGATTTTACCAGATGTGAAGTGAGGAGTGAGCAGATTGTTCATCCCGTTCACTCACATATCAAAAAGAGTCTTCCTTAATTGGAGCAGTCGATTAAAATACGAATTTCAGACTACATTCGCTTCTTCTTTGGCAACGATTCTTATCAGAAAACTGGCTACTCCAAAACTAATATGTCAGTGTTGCCTCAGCCATGCATATATAACGGAACTCTACAATGCTACAGCTCTGTGAAGATCCGCGAATATAAGAGAAGCCAGTATGACGACTTCGTCTATTGGAGCTCCGTTCCTCCAGGCTATCCTTATGATCCCTACATAGAAACAGAGGTCACGCAGGATTTCTGGATTGTCAGCGGCGGTTGTTATTGAGCCTGCTTATTAGTTCGAATGGCATTTGCTTCCGTTTTGTGTTAATAGCTTGGCTAATGCAGCCGTAGAAACGTCTTAGAAATGTATGGGGAAACTGCGGTCTTATGCAAACAAGGTTACATCAAAAAATAAATGTTGTCGCTGTGTCGCACTCATTGAAAGCTTTTGTGCAGGGATCACTTAGCGTCTTGTTCCTTGCAGTTGTTGGCACTGACATATGGCAAGTCTTCCACCAACTGTTGTCCCTTACCACGCTAAACAATTCGTGGAGAGCTCGCTATGGATGATCCAGTCCTATCTGACATGCCCCAGGATCTGTACCGACAAGGCTCTGCCTTGAACAAGGTGTCCATCACGACTCACACTACTGACTGATTTTGAGGATAGAAGGGATCAACAATGTGGAGGTGGCCATTAAAAACGTAGGTGGGCTGTTTTGTCTCAACTACTTTATCTAATCTGTCCCCGAGCCTCTTTAGAGAGAGAGAGGGACTGATACACAGAATATTATGTCATTAGGAGTAGAATGATGTAAACCATCGGGTGGAAAGGCCAAGACAGTGCTCAGAAGTTCACGCACAAAGAGCATATAGGTCCATACAGTACAGTCTACCAAGCTCAAGGTATCGGAATCCATACAGACATTCTGTATGGATTCCGATACCTTGAGCTTGGTAGACTTTGTCGCGAATCACGCTTCCAAGGGTTCCTCCGCCTGGCGGCGCCTACCGTAGCTCGCCATGACCTACGTTTTTGCCCTTCTTCCGGCATGATCGCGCGGGAAACCGCTGCCACCTCGGTGGCATCGATCACTACAGCCTTCACTTCCTCCTCTCCGTCTACTCCAGTGTGGCCGATTACTTAACTTCTTCCAAGTCAGCTATTCCACTAGTCAGTCGACCCTGAACACTCAACGTAATCCAGTGGCATACCTTGCCAGTAGCCTGATGCCACATATTGTCTGTTATTTTCTTAGAATTGCAACGACGTCTATTCTCCCTTGGTCGACCCGTGTCCACTATTGCTAGGGCGTCGGCCTTTAGGACAACCAGTGAAGTATGTCCATAGCTATTTCAGTATCCCCTCAGTTGGCGACGAGAAAATATTCATTATTCATCTCCGTGAACTCCGAGAGTGTTTTACGTACTAAAGCCTCGCAGATTCCCCAACGGAACCGCTGATGTTTTGTCTTCTTTACTGTGAGCAGTTTATGTTACTTCACTAAAGCACATAAAGCTGCTAACCCTAACTCTGTCCTCGTACTAGAGGAGCCTTTGCCAGTAACTGTCATCTTGTTGTGGTGCATTAGCTCAGTGGGTTGATCTCAACCGATAGTGCAGAGGAAGGCAAGCAGGATAAGGCTGCTTGATACGTGGTCCAGTACCTGCTGTGTGAGGGAGCTGGGGCTCCGGGCAGGGGAGATTTGGAGCCATCAATTAGGCGCCACGAAACACTCTCCTCTCACGCCGTTCTGCTCGCGGATCAACCCCGATTCGCAACATCTTGATGTGTGTAGTGACATGAGGCACAAATTAAAGCAGTTCCTGGAAGAAAAAGGAAGCCAAGTGCAATCTCACTTTTACGCAGAGAGTCTTGTCACCAGTCTTGCCGAAGGTGAGGCAGGGTTGCTCCTCCGAAGTTGGCTTCCACTGGATAGATAGTAGAGCTGAATTCGCCAGAAAATGCCGTTTCTGGCTTGTAACACCCTATCTGTTCCCATCTGAGCTAGACTCTATTTCAGTCAGGGTATGGCCTCTTATGAATATTTGTAAAGAATTTCTGTGACCGGTATGAGACAAGGAAGAAAAACAGAAGAGAAAGGAGGGGAGCGGAATTGATAAAAAAAGAATAAGAAAAAGCGTAGGGCCTCATCTTTTCAAGCTGCGGGATCCAAATGTGACATGTAGTATGATGAATTTTTATTATTTACACTTATATTCACGTCCAAAAACTGGAATGAAAAATCAAAAAGCATCCCACTATATATAAGCGGCTATGTCCGTGTGTGTGTCTGTCTGTCACGAAATTCATAGCGAGCGTCGCAGAAAAGATAGGATGACAGTTCCAAGAAGTGATATACACGGCAGGACGGGAACACTTTTGGTGGGTGACAGGAGGTGATAACACCTGATAAGATTCGATAAGGGGCCTTAGAAGGGGAGGGTGACCGAAATCGTAGCGCGAGTTGCAGCAGCTGCGGGACCTTGATTTCAAGGAGTGATATACATGGCAGGACGGGAACACTTTTGTGGGTGACAGGAGGTGATAACACCTGATAAGATTCGATAAGGGGCCTTAGAAGGGAAGGGTGACCGGGTTCGTGGCAAGTTGCAGCAGCTGCGGGACCGTGATTTCAAGAAGTGATATACACGGTAGGGTGGTGGCTGACAGGAGCTGATAACATCTGATAAGATCCGATAAGGGACCCTAGACGCGGGTGTCACCAAATTCTTAGCGCAGGTTGCAGCGACCGTGGGACCTTGATTTCAAGATGTGGTATAGGGTAAGGGAAGTGGACATGATTGGTGTGTGACAGAAGCTGATAACATCTGATAAGATTCGATAAGGGGCCTTAGATGCGGAGGGTCACCAACTTTGTAGGGCAGGTTGCAGGGTCTGTGGGACCTTGGTTCAAAGAAGTGGTATAGGGGGAGGAGGGCGGGAACCCACTGACGAGTGACACTAAGTAACAGCAACTGATAAGAGTCAAAAGCGTCATCATGCTACACCGCTTACTGCCATAATGCGATTGATATGACGGTATCAGGCTCTCAGTAGTTCGTACACAACTCACTCCTATGCTCTTACCGCTATCGACATCATGTACGGCCGCTAAAGCAACTGGAGTTCAGATGCATGACGGTTGTTTACTCAGTTGCCATGAACTGCAGCAACTAACTTTATCACTATGACCATGATTATCTTCCATCAACAACCCGAGAGAGGACCATTTCGAAGCGCAAAACTGCCGAATGCGGGAGTGCATTCCAGTAAGAATGGACAAAAGGATAGATTTCAGCGTTACATTGGGACAATGGTTACAATTCTACCATATATAATCGACTATGTCCGTGCGTGTGCGTCTGTCTCTTTGACACGAAATTCATAGCGCCGGTCCCAGTAGCAGCGAGATATTGGTTCCAAGAAGTGACGTAGAGGGTGCGAGAACACTATTGGTGGGTGATAGGGAGTGAAGTTGATATCAGTCACTATCTGATAAGATGCCTCAGAATGGAACTCTCACCATATTGGGCCAGAATAATTGAAAATAGCTCGAGCAACTTTAACCCGTTGCTCGAGCTATTTTCAATTATTTTTCTACATTTTGCTGGAAAATGCACTGTGACGGTTAGGCGTATTTTGCACACTCTACCTCGCCTAAGAAAGAGTGCCTGGCGAAGGCCGGGCCGTGACAAAGAAGGAGGAGCACCCGGCGGCAGCCGGGTGATCCGACTGGTATCGCATTAATTGGAAAAAGTATCTCAAAGCATCCTAAAGCACGGAGGTGACAGAAGGGAATGCTGAGAGTGGACGGGGTTGAGTCTACACACACTACATGCGTCCAACATGATAATTATAAAAGCGCTTGGGGAGGTGATCAACGGTTGTCAAACACCGCCAGAACGAAATAAAGTTTAAGTTGCCAACCCTAATCAGAAGGAACTTAGAAGGTACAGATGTTACGTAAATACACGAGGGTAGCCGTGCAATTGAATACCGCTGGCGACTACCCGTAATTACGTAATTTTTGGTTACCTATGGCACGCAACTGTTCGCTGAAATGTCGCTACATAACTAAACAGGGGGTCCTTATCACGATCACTTTCGAGGGAGCATTTCATACTTCTTTAATCTTTCTCCCACTGTTGGCGTGGTCTGCCCGTCCTTTGACAGTGAAAAATTGACGAATTGAAAAAATGAAGAATTGCAGCGTTGATGACTGAAGACGTAGTTCAAAGATTAATAGTATTGCGGAAATAGGTTGATATATGTCGCTATAACGCTTGCCTGCCCGTGTGTCTGTGTGGATGCTTGTCTGTGTGTATGTGTGTCACTGTATCTGTCCATAGATTTGGCATGGCCTAACGAGCTATTTGGAGGAGCCGGACCAAGGTTGGGCTGGGTAGGGCATGGGCTAAGATGTACGACACACACAAAGGTCCACCCATTAGGGGCAGGACTTGCCCTCAGCCAGGACCTCTTCTTTCGAAAATCAATCAAATTGGGTTCTATTAGACTGGACGAAGAGTCCTAGGACACTTTGATTAAACTGTTCCAGAAAAATACCAGAAGATATTTTCAATATATGCTGATTGATAAAAAGTGTCCTCTGAGGTTTTTCAGAACCGTATATTATGACTTCGTGAAGGCTTTCGAAGCCTAGAGGAGTCCAAAGGTCAATGCACTTTTCGACCTATCCCACATTACCTGAGTTTGGGTAGGTCCACTCCGGTAGTCGAGGAAGCTACCACGTGTGTTGTCTTCAGGAAGGATGTCCCTCGCGATACCATAGTGCCCCGTTTGTATCAGCTCTCAAGAGCTGGAGTTTTTCAATTTAGAGGAAGACAATGTATGGTCGACCACCAGCACAGAATGACGACAGTTCACTCAAACTTCCAAGGGTGTTGCCAACGTAACCACCAGTAAGTTGGCAACCACTCCAAGCTCCACTCAACTGATAACGGCCATGCCTCTCCGCAAATCTCTGTCGTAGGGAAAATTTTTGTGGGGTATGCCTCATGAGTTGGACCAGTCTGACAAAGTGCATCGGATAGGTATGACTGAGTTTTGTTTTCCATAAAAACAACGAAAGAACTTTTGGTGGAATCTTTGCGTACAGTATGTACCGCTCGAAAAGAAAAGTAGACTGCTTAGCCAAAAGCAGATGTGCATGGAATAAAGATTTCACTGTGTTATTGGTGGGACTTCAAGCGATGTCGCTGGGTACGGGCACAGCAATGACGGCCACAGACCACTCCGATCAACTTTGGAACATAGAT